TTTTGACAACTAACTTAATTGATTTTATATCAGCATTTAAATATATTCATATTCAACAAGAAGTCCTATTAGGAATATATGAAGCACATTATATGGAGCTTAACAATATCAGCAACAGTAACGTAAAATTCATCCCTGAATGGAAGGAGCTTAGTCTGGAAACTCCACTGAGAACTTTTGTTAAAAAGATAGTTCAAACAACGTACAAGGCAGAATGGACCTAGCTAAGAAAGAAAAATGATACAGAATACCAAACAAGAATCCAGAAACAGGATTAGAAAGCTTTCAAGGGTATACTTGAAAGCTGCTGCAAACAATACCAAAACACTGAAGTAAACCACTTGCGCTTGTTCAAAATCAAATATATCGAAAACCTCCTACCAACAGTAGAAACGCTAAACCTCAGGAAGCCGAAATTGTACAAAAATATTCTATGCAAAAGATGCTTAAAGGAAAAAGAATCGATTGAACACTTAGTTACTTGTGAAAAAGCCTATTAAGTACTTGAAAAAATCAAAGATGAAGTATAGAAATGGCTTGACGAAGACAAAAGAAAAGAAGAAAATTGGGATTTAAGGAGTATAGCACAAGCAATCCAATGTGAACAAAAAATGAAACAACAAAGAAGAAAAGAGTAGTTAAGAGGTATTCTGTATGAAGAAGAGGCCGAAAGAATCAAAAATATCATAGGGTCTAAAGTATGACAACTAGATTCTGGAGCCTGTTCTGGAATATCTGGATAGAACTAGTATATAAGGAAGTTTGGAAAAAACGATGCAAAGATATGGAAGCTTAGGAGAAAAAGAAAAAAATCTCTAAGAAAGAAAAATACACGCAGAAGAAAAAAGGAAAAAATGGTCTAAAAGAAAAGTTATCAAGGAAAAAAACAAACTGCAGATTAGACGAGAATATAGAAAGTTATAATATTAGTCTTAAAATAGTAGTAGATAGCATAGCAAGAGAAGTAAAGGAGGAAATTTTAACTAATTAGATGTAAAAGTAGTCATGATGGGCTGTAGCGTCCTTCTTATATTAGTTTGTAGTCTATTTTTTTTAGCTACATTAGTATAGGATAAAGGTTACTATAGCAGATCGCACATAGGTATCTTCAGGATAACCGGGTGAATCAGGGCTTAAAAAATTAGATATTAGATAGTATATAGCTAAATAATATTGTTTTCAAACAGAAAGCAAAACTAAATAAAGTCTTGGCATGACTGCTGAATTTAAAAAAAAAAAATAACAAACTATTAAAATCATCAGCAATAATATTTACTACCTCTTCATCTATTGCTTGAGCCTAGTTGTTGAAAAAATTTCTTTTTTTATCTTGTCTTGAAGGAGTATAGATATTGGTAATAAGATAGTTGTAATGTTGAAATGAGATTCTTGTTTGAAGAATATATCTATCTAAGAACTCTTGAGAATTAGAAAATTAGATTTTTTTGTTTTCAGCTAAAATAGCTATTTTAAAAGACCAAATTGAGTTATAGTTCTATTGTTGTGATAAAAAGTTTCTAGTTGTAGTATCTGTTAGATTTGTTTTTTGCAGAAGAATAATATCTAGTTTATATGACTTTAAAAGAGTAAGTGTTTTTTGTATCTTAGACTTATTGTTTAAGCCTTTAATGTTTAGAATTGCTATTTTGATTTTGCTCATATTAGAAAGTATTTGCTTTTTAAGTATTTTAGTACTTCTGATAGCATTTGCTCTTTATTTCATTATCAGAAGAGATGTTTTTTTTTCTTAGTGATCTAGTTGATTTAGAATGACTTTCATCTTTCTTTTTTGTCTTATTTTTAGATTTCTTTAAGATAGTAATAGTGAAAAGTTCTTCTTTTGAGTTGCTATCTGCATTAACTTCTATAAGGTTTGAGTTTTGCTTATTGTTTGTATTTTCATTCACTACTTTTGGTGAAGTAAGAGAAGAGAACTTAATGATCATTTGCTCTTGAGTTTCAATGTTTTTTTTCTGATCATTCTGAACAGAGTTCTCCTCAGATAACTTTGAGAAGGATTGGTTTGAGTTAGCTAGAGGAGTAGAGATATTTTCTGAGGTTTTTGAGTTATTAGATTTTTTAGTATTTTCTACAAAATTAGAGATTTAAAGGTTATCTTTACTAAATTCTAAGGTTGAGTTTAAACTAGGTTTGTTTTTTTATATTCTTTTTTCTTTTTGAGCATGTCTTATTTTAATTGAGAGTTTAAGATTTTCATAGTCTTTTTTGATAGATCCTCCTTTTCACAGTAGTAACATACTTTAAGAGCTTTTTTTTAGTCTGTTGTAACTTTGTGATCTCCTACATGAGTACTTTTGAGAATTCTTGAAAACAAGTCTGGATTATCTGTTGTTTTAAAAGAGATAATCTATTGGTCTGAGCAGACTGAAGTTCTTTTAAAGAGTAATAGTTTAATTGAAGTAATTAGATCAAAATCCTAGAAGGCTTTCATAATAAAAGTATTCATTTTTTTTTTATCTTCTATTAGAGAATTTCTGAGTTTTATTGAGAGAAAAGTAGACCAAAATTAATAGAGATATAGCTGAAGAGAGTTTTTTTTTTTTAAATTCAGCAGTCATGCCAAGACTTTATTTAGTTTTGCTTTCTGTTTGAAAACAATATTATTT